GTATTGTCTTGTGTTCTTCTTCAGGCGATAGCGGGTCCGCAGTGTCTTGTGTCTCGTCTCTTGTGTTGGCACATCGTGTTCGTTCTCATTTCTGTGTGCTCGTAGTGTTCGGGTGCTGTGGAAGTGTGGAGCTGCGAAAGCAGCGAAACTGCAAGGAGAAACTGTGAAGAACTGCGAAGAGAAAAGGAACTGACTGCGAAGAAGGAACTGACCGAACTGCCTGGCGGCACTCAGCGCGCTACCTTTATAGCCCTGATTATGGGCGGTATAAATACTGGCTGAGGTGGGCGGTGCCAAGGCCTCCTATTGGTTGGTTGTAGGCGGTGAGCGAGCTTTCTAGAAAGTGTGATCATGACACTCCGCACGACGAGAGAAGTTTAGAAATTGCAAGTACATAAAATGCCGTTTGCATCCTCCCCGCCGCCGAAGAATTGGTATTTGTATAAGTGTATTTTTGTTGCGTTTTATGTTTTTGGTTTTTTTTTGGTCGTAGCGTCCAGTATTGCATCCTACAGTAATACAGTATAAAACAGTACCGTAATAATAGTATAAAAAAATAATAGTATAATTAATGCGCTAGTAAGAAGAAGAAGGATTGTCACTGAGTAGATAAGGAATTGTTTGCAAGTGTGAATGAAGTGGGAAAAGGGTAGCTAGGTCGAAGTTGATAGATGAATTGTCAGTAACTGTGTCGTTGTTCCATAAGCGAATATAGTTCCACAAGGGCTGTATGCCGTTGATGTAGTTAAGAGTGCCTTGTAATTCAAATATTGTGATGTGTGTACCGCACTGTGCTCTGCAAGTTTCATGTACTTGGGCTTTGTTAAAAAATAGACGCACATTGTTGGAGGTACCCGATAGACTGCAGGTCAATGTGAATGTCTGTTGTCCACAATTGACTTGTGCAATGGACTGGGAAGTGTCAGATTTACAAAGAATTGTAGCTAAGGAACCTTTCACGCAGTTGTAGCATCCGAGAAAATGTTGTGGAAGAATAAGGCACTGAAAATCTTGTATTTCTTGCTTGATATTGGATATGTTGGCGTTTAGTGTAAGCATGAGGTCAACGGATATAGCGGTTGTCCTTACGGTAGGTATTTTGTTGAGGCCTTCAGTGGATACCAGGCCGTTTGGTATAGGAAGAGGAAGGGTATTGGAAAGTTGGGTGATGTGGGAAACGTTATTGTTGGTGCAATAGCAGGTGACGAAATCTTCAGCAGGATTGCATTTACAGGTATCTTTGATAATGCAATCATTAGTGCCGTTATGTGGTTTATTTGGGTTAGTGTTGCATGCGTAGCTGAATTCGGTTTCTGTGTGGACATACGCTGTTGTCTGGTTATTGCTGATAAATCGTTGATGAAGGATGGAGAGTGGTGTAGAAGAAATGCTTGTAATTTCAAATGTTGTGTTTGCAATGCGTTTTTTAGTATAGGGTTTTAGTTCAATATTTTGCGATATATGGCTAGTGCCTTGAGTCTGCACATTGATCGATATAGTCTGGAACCAGGATGGGCATTGAAACACTTCGTAGACATTGTCATCGAGGGGTATATGATATATGCGATAGAAGAGGCATCCTGATGATGGGTAACCGCAAGAGCAGCCTAATCCACCGCAGGATTCGGAGCAGTAGGTGATGCCTGTGTAGTTATTAGCTTCGTCGAGTTCGTCGACGAGGGTGTCGTAATTGATTTTTGCGCATTTAAGACCAGTACATGTGCCCATATGGGGGCAGCGCTTTCGATACTGTATGCGAGTGATGGTGTTTTGAGTAAAGTACAGTGTTTCTTTACGACAGCGGAGGATTAACGCGTTAAGCGAGATCCGCATAAAATGGATGCGTTGGTCACCTTGTTGTACTTGTATGCACATTTCAGGTTGCAATTGATTGAGTTGTGCGAGTAACGTAGTTTGGTTGCGGCAGTTGTGTTTGGATGTGTCACACTGAGATAGTGTTGCTGGTAGTAAAACTGTTTGTTGACAGCTTAATACCAGGGGTGTGATGGATGTTACAATTGTGATCAATTTAATGAGAGTGGTAGTATTCCATTTGGTGTTTACGTTATCGAGTTCGATGAAAGGAGTGTAATCATTAGAATCATGACGTGTTCTACGTTTCTGTCTTGTAACGTTACAGAGGGACAGGAGGGAGGGGATATCTGCAGAGGCAGTTGAAGGTACGTGCTGTCTTCTTGATTAAAGCGAAACTTATGTATAGGGTAATTGCGATTATATAGAATAGTATGGCCTGTTACTGCAATGGCGATTCTTGGCCAACACTCAGGATTCGAAACCATCTGTGAGCAAAAATTGCATGTGATTTGTTCGCAAAATGGGCTGGGTGGACATGCCCAGTGAAAAGCTCGTGTCGTATTGTCTATGACTGATTTAAGGGTTATATGATAGGTATGAAGCGTGGGAATTGAATGTTCATATTCTGGTCGGGTTCGTGCATTTCAATACAATACTCGTCTCCGCATACTTGTATTTGCTGTGCGGGCTGTGAAAGTTGCATGTGTACTCCTCCTGTGATACTGATCTTCTGAGTTGGCTGAGTATGAGCCAGTTGAAATAGGGCCAACGTTAACGATATCGTGAGCCAATGTTTCCATAATGATTGTTTGTGAATGGGTGATGTGCTAACTAATGGTGGGTTGTTGGTGTTCATGTTAGTTGTATAGGTGTAAGACTTGTTGGTTTTCGCCTTACGTGGTAATATCTGTCTCGTCCGCGTTACATTGTGTTCAGAGTCTGTTGATGAGTCAGAAGGATTTGTATTGTGTGTATTGTTGGTTGTTTCTGGTGTCGACTCGGTGTGTGTTGTTTCCTGTTGATGTTCGGGGGAACGCTCCGTCATCACACCATTTAATTCTAATGGTATGAGCATATTTATCGATCGCTCTATTACTGCTTTAGAAGTCCGTAGTTTTACGGACCTTATGGCGCCGTCTGTGTCGTGATTAAGATGAGTGATGAGGCCAAGGGGCCAGTTGTTTCGATGAAGATTTTCGTCCATGACTAGGACAACTTCTCCAACTAGGGGTTGTCTTCTTGTGAAGCATTTTTGTTTGATGCGTCGTTGGTGAAAGTTACGTAGTTCGAGTAAGTAACTTGTTGTCCAAATATTCCATAAATATTGAAGATGACGTAATTGTCATGAAAACATGCTCTTGCTTTTTCCCTTGTAGAGATTCGTGGACAATAGTCTAAACCATTGTCGTCATTTTCTATGGAGTCCTCTCAAACCAAATTCACGTCCTCTCGAAACCAAATTCACATCTTATAAAACCAAATACACGTCCTCTCAAACCAAATTCACGTCCTCTCAAACCAAATTCACATCTTATAAAACCCAAATACACGTCCTCTCAAACCAAATACACGTCCTCTCAAACAAATTCACGTCCGTTATGACCAAGATACGCGTCCTCTCAAACCAAATTCACATCTTATAAAACCCAAATACACGTCCTCTCAAACCAAATTCACATCTTATAAACCAAATACACGTCCTCTCAAACCAAATTCACGTCCTCTCGAACCAAG